TGCATAAAATAAAAGACCAAATTGAAGACGTAAAAGGCTTGATTCTAGGACCAAAACGTAGCATGCAAAACAATGAAAGTCAAAAGTCTAAAATAACAAAATTTAAATAACATAACATCTGGGACTGGAATTAAATTCGGGTAACATATGGAAACAAAATTAGAAACACGAACACATTGATTTGAGGATTAAAATGCATGAAACTGAAAATTCCAATGGCCCAAATGATGAATAACCCATGTGAACTGGCCATTCCCAAAATGATGCCGTTTTAATGTGTGCATATATATACCCTATTTTGTGTAAGAACAAGACCCTAAACCATTTGCTTTCCCCCTAGCATCGCAATCTCCCTCACTCTCAACTCTCATCTCTCGGCCACTCACTCCAAAGCACCACGATCCCACTCATCACAAGGTAAATTAAATCTAAAACTCTTACCCCTCTATTTTATTTTACATTTTGCTTTGATCTAATCCTCTCGACCGAAAGCTATTCGAATCTCACACAACCGGTCCTCCACTCCGACGAGAAACGACGAACAAGGTAATCGAAACACTCTAACCTATTAACTCTTTGCTTTTGATAAAAATAATTGCATAATGTTATTTATGAAAATCCATACTTCTGTTCATTTAGTTCATTTCAAAACCAAAAGCATACCCACACATCACACTAAAAGGAAAATGAGTATGAAAATCACCTTCATCACTTGCTATTACTTTCGAAAAATATAGGGAATGATCCCTACACACTGTGTTTGTGGGCTTCAGAATACCCTGGTTACAAATGATTTCTCTTTTTTCGATCGATTTCCTCCCCTTGATTTTTTCGGTTTGCTCTCTTCTTGAATCGTATTTCCTATTCGAATGGTTGTTTATGAACCCCCTGTGTTGATGATCTCTGTAGTGAGTGCCTTTTTTTTCGTTCCCCTTCCTCGAATGGTATTACTGCTTTTTAAAGATCAAGATCAGGACCCCTTTTCCTGGTTTTTGCTACTTTTTTCATCCTCTCATTTTTCTTTCATTTCACCGAAAGTCCCGTGTCCTTTTGTTTGATTTCCTTGTGTTTGGTAGGATGCTGATGTGTTTAGGTAAAAATAATGATATTTTCAATGGCTGATTGATTTTTTTCTTGATAATTCATGCAGTATCAACTTCAATGGTGGCATGATTGTCGGCAGTGACTTGGCTACAAATCACCTTCATCACTTGCTATTACTTTCGAAAAATATAGGGAATGATCCCTACACACCGTGTTTGTGGGCTTCAGAATACCCTGGTTACAAATGATTTCTCTTTTTTCGATCGATTTCCTCTCCTTGATTTTTTCGGTTTGCTCTCTTCTTGAACCGTATTTCCTATTCTAATGGTTGTTGATGAACCCCCTGTGTTGATGATCTCTGTAGTAAGTGCCTTTTTTTTCCTTCCCCTTCCTCGAATGGTATTACTGCTTTTTAAAGATCAAGATCAGGACCCCTTTTCTTGGTTTTTGCTTTTTTTCATCCTCTCATTTTTCTTTCATTTCACCGAAAGTCTCGTGTCCTTTTGTTTGATTTCCTTGTGTTTGGTAGGATGATGATGTGTTTAGGTAAAAATAATGATATTTTCAATGGCTGATTGATTTTTTTCTTGATAATTCGTGCAGTATCAAATTCAATGGTGGCATGATTGTCGGCAGTGACTTGGCTACAAATCACCTTCATCACTTGCTATTACTTTCGAAAAATATAGGGAATGATCCCTCCACACTGTTTTTGTGGGCTTCAGAATACCCTAGTTACAAATGATTTCTCTTTTTTCGATCGATTTCCTCCCCTTGATTTTTTTGGTTTGCTCTCTTCTTGAACCGTATTTCCTGTTCGAATGGTTGTTGATGAACCCCCTGTGTTGATGATCTCTGTAGTGAGTGCCTTTTTTTCCGTTCCCCTTCCTCGAATGGTATTACTGCTTTTTAAAGATCAAGATCAGGACTCCTTTTCCTGGTTTTTGCTACTTTTTTCATCCTCTCATTTTTCTTTCATTTCACCGAAAGTCCCGTGTCCTTTTGTTTGATTTCCTTGTGTTTGGTAGGATGATGATGTGTTTAGGTAAAAATAATGATATTTTCAATGGCTGATTGATTTTTTTTCTTGATAATTCGTGCAGTATCAGCTTCAATGGTGGCATGATTGTCGGCAGTGACTTAGCTTGGTGATTGGCTCATGCACTGATGGGAATGAGTAACTTGAACAACGGCTGGGGTAATGGTCACTGGGTTGGGTCTGAGTTGTAGGGAACTTGTAATATTGGGCTTGATGAGGGCCTGCAAAACATGTAATTAATTAATAATAATTATAATTAATATTTATAATATTTTTTAAGTCCAGTCAAAAACGGGTGTCTACATTAATAGTAATAAATATAAAAGGGGATTTTTAAAAGTTGTTTTTTAAAATAAAAGATAATAATTAAATAAAAGAAAAAATAATTAAATAAACAAATTAAAGAGATTGAAATAAAGAGAAAATTAATGTGAAAGCAGCCTCAGAATTCAGCTTTGTCTCATATTCCTCAGATCATCGAAACAGATTTTTACTTCAAGATTCACGTCGGTTATTGCAAGAACAATTCTTCTCTGCCAACTCGGATTGTGTTATTTCAATAACAACTGATTCTGATCTCAGTTTCCTCTTAGCAAACAATTTTGCTAAGTGTGTTCTCGGGAAGTTGAATATGCTTCAATAAACAAATCCTTCTTCAAACATGTTACATAACAATATCTGGACCAATGTCGAAATCGTTTTGATTTGAAAAGTAAGCTCATAAAACAGAGAGAAAATCCGAAGCGATTTAAGTACCTTACAATTCTCACGTTTGGAATTGAGCATTCGCTTTAGCCGTCGGCTTGAAAGAGAATTAGTTAAGCATGATCAAAGTCATACTTAGCATAATAGAAAAGTATACGAAAATAGAAAGAAAGCTAGAGAGGAAAAGAATATTTTATTCTCAAAAGAGAGAAATATGTTTCTAAGCTCGCCCTTACAGGGTATTTATAGCCTTCAAATTCCTAAAAACAAACTAAAACATCTTAAATCCTAATTAAAACACTAAAACATATTTAAACTAAAATACCTAAAACAAATATAAAATATAAAAATAATATCCTAAAACTTAATTAAAATATTAAAACTAAAATACAAAGATAAAATACAATATTTAAAATATTAACCTAAACTTGAGTTTAATTCAAATCCGAATTTCGGCCAGCTTTGATTCCGAAAATGAAAAAAACTGCAGAATTGTGTCCTTTTTATGCAATTTCCAGAATCTTACGTCCTGTACAGAAAATGAATTAAAATGAACAAATATGCCACAAAAATCAATGATTAAGGAGTAATTTAAAAGTAAAATATTAACTAAAGTAAGCATTTATCATCAATATTGATCGAGTGTTATTTTTTAGTTAGAACTTATTCGTGCAAATATATTTGTCTACTGAGATTTATCTTTCCACCATAAAATTTTTAAAATTCAATTTACCCTATTTTGACATATTTCGATTGTTCGATAGAGTTTACATGTAATTTATACCGTATACCACAAAACTTAATTTTTTTTTATTAATTTTATCACTAAACATAAATTGATATAGTTGTAGGACTAAATTTTAGTTTTACATACAATTATACATTGAGAAGATAGACGTCTGTTTTCATCAATATGATTACATGGTCAAAACAATGTCATTAAATGATGTCATTTTTAGGATTATATAAACCATTTAATTTATGTATCGAATCATACACTTAACTTTAAAACACTTTAATTTTGGACATTGAACTTTTTGGGTATCGTTGGCAGTCAATTGTCGTTATTTGCGAGACAAGATTGATATAAAAAATCTTCGTATTTCACTCCCTTTCTTCTACTTATATTGGTTTTCCATGAAACCATTAAAAATCGATAAAAAAATCATGTAAATTTTTGATTTTCTAATACTATGATCTCCTTCGATGACTGTATGATGATATTAGTTTTGAGGTATGATGTTTATCTTCTCGGAATAATACTTTTAACCATTCGTATTTTTTAATAAACACCGCAAATCCCAAAAAAATTGAGTTTTTAATTTCATGACTTTTAAAGAAATTTTAGAAAAATATAAACCGATAAAGTAGTAAAGGATGATAATGCGAGTTCATCAACGTTTAGGGTAACTACAAAAGACATCAATGAGTGACGATTTTCAGCGGTGGACAAAAAGGTGAAAAAGCTAAAGTTGAGTGCTACAATAGTATCCATTTATAGTTTATTGGAAAATCCAATACAAAAATTAAAGTTCCGTAATATCTAGTATAGTTTGTCATTTCTTTTATATAAATGTTTATTTTAAAAAATAAACATTTATAATATATCATATTTTTTATTGAAGTACCTAAAGAATTTTTTTGTCAAAGTATGTATCTAAAATATTAACCTTTTTTCATATAGGAGCTTAAATTATTATTATTTTGTTAAAGTAAGTGTCTAAAATATACATCTTTTTCATTTAGGTGCCTAAAAGTTGATACATGAATTTGATTAGTTTGAGGTGGTTACAAGATACTATATATTTAAAACACTCATAATCATTTGATAATGAATGCTCAAACACTCCTGCGGGCATTATACTTGAATTTGAGACCTCCAGGAATAATAATCATCCCTTTAATCATTGAGATCACTTGATTTATGAAAAAAAAATGTATACTTTAGATACATACTTCAATAAAAAAATATTTTAGATACATGGATAAAAAGTGAAATACCAACGTTAAAAAAATTAGATAAATAAAATATGGTACACTTTACGTAATTATTTTGGAATTAAACATTTATAAAATTTAAATGCATTGAAAATTTCTCACAATTTCCCAATAATAAATATACAATAACCCTCTTTCATCTTGTTGGAAAATTGAAATAATAAAAAATAGTAGTGAAACCTCTCAATCCGAGTTTCCTATACATGCATGCATGTCATTTTAATTGGTCAGATTGCCTTAATATTTTCATGCTGACAGCATTTAGCATAGCTCTCGAATATTGTCGAGAAGCCATTTTCCAGTCCATCCCCGTTACCATCATTTCCTTAAACTCCTCGTAACTGATTCGTCCATCCTACAAAATCAATGTTTTCAAATTACATCAAATCTCGAGATTTAACTACATATCTAAATTCGAGCAGTAGTATGCTAGATGTATACACATTGAAATGAATACCTTGTCTTTATCGACATCGTTCATGATGTCTTTGATAAGCTGTTGATGAAGATTGTCGTGCCCTAAAGCTTCTTGCAGCTCTTCCACTTCGATGTAACCACTTTGGTTCTTGTCAAACACAGTGAAGGCTTGAGACAGAAGCTCGTCGTTGCCGTCGATCCGTTTCAGGTGAACTATCATTACTACAAACTCCTCGGGGCTCAGCATTCCGTTCCCGTCGATGTCTGCCTGCGTATCGTTGTTTTTACGGATTCAGATAATATTCAAATCACTTTAAATAAATGAACTTACAGCATCCATTAACATCTGAACATCAGGATCATCGAGAGAATGTCCGATTTTGTGAAGTCCATCTCTAAGCTCCTCGAACGTTAAGTTCCCGTTTTCATCGGTGTCCATCATATTGAACGTCTCTGTAATTGAATCGACTTGTTCATTTGGCAAGTTGTCTGCCACCACCTGCAAGTTGTTTACATCTCAATATAAGGGCCAGCAAGAAATCAAAATTTTCAACTTGACCCTAAAAAAACTCGATTTCTTACCCTAAGAACTTCCTTCTTGAACTTGTTCATCAATGAGAATTGCTTAATCCTTGTTCTTACGTGTTCCCCGAGATTCACATTTCGAGCATTTTCCAAGTTTTGGATCCATGGATGTTCTTCATATCATACACATCACGATTATCAACATTAAGTAAGATTTAGTGGATGTAAGATAATACCATAATAATGAACATACCGAAAGCTTGCTGAACAGTTATCCGATTTTGAGGATTTTGATCCAGCATTCTCCTAACTAGATCCTTTGCTTCACTCGATACTTTTGGCCAAGGATCCCTTTGAAAATCTATTTTTCCTCTTATTATTGCTCTTGCAATGCCTTCTTCACAATCTACAATATTTTTTATATATATTATTCGGATTCATGTATGACTTAGATATTTAGTATATTTTTTTAAATAAAAATGTGTTAAAATAGCACAGATTAACAAGTGTTCGAAAATTTTAATGATGTTGATGTTAATAATATACATAAAAGGTTCGGATTTATTTACACAATGTAAATTTCTTTTAGTTTTACATATAGTTACCGTTGAATGAGTGAAATTAGAATATTGAGATTAATTCGTTGTTTTGTTCAATGAATATCTTATCATTTCCTACTGTTAATCTAAATCGTTTATTTTCACTCGTCTGACGATTATATATATATATATATATATATATGGATTAAGGATTTATTTACATTAATTTAATATTATATAATTTTATATATTTTTTAGGATTAAAATTTTAACAATTGAATCAGAAAATTATAATTACCGGCCCAAAAGGGAGGAACTCCACAAAGCAAGATATAGAGGATAACACCAGCACTCCAAATATCAACTTCTTTGCCATAGTTTCTTCTTAAAACCTCTGGAGCCATATAATAAGGACTTCCTACAACGTCATTGAACTGCTGACCTGCCATTTAATACCGATCACATTCGGTTTATTTGATTTAATTCGATTCGATTTTGACTTTATTTAATTTGATGATCCGATTTCAATGTACTCATTTCATTTGTTTATGATTTTTTATTTTCTTAATGGAATAAATGAAACAAACCTTTGAATCCGAATATAATATTTACCCTTCTAAAGATGATTAAAAATCAATTAAGATGGAGATTGTACCTGGTTTATGGAATATGGAAAGGCCAAAATCAATTGCTTTGATTGGGGCACTTTCACTTCCATCTGCCAACAAGAAATTCTCTGGTTTTAAATCCCTATGTACCACTCCATGTTCATGGCATACCTGCAACAGATAATATTAAATTAATTGCACATATCTATGAAATCTACTATAGATATATTTAGTACTCGGAATTTATGTTAATTTCTTACTTTACATTTAAAAATAATTACATTTATGAAAAAAATTACATTTTTCCCATTTCAATGCTAGTTCATTCTATAATAAATAAAAAATTGTATATATTGACTTAATTAACAAGCTGGAAGAAACAAAATGTACAATTGACATTTTAAATCTACATTATTTTATGAACCGAAAACTAATTATTTTGTAAGCCAAGAAAGAACCAAAATTTACATATAAAACTCACATGCACATATTCAGTAATTTACATCGAAACTTTTAATTTTGTTAGGAAGAATATATGAATTTAAAAATAAAAAATAAAATAAAATAAAATGACCCAAACAAGGTCATTTTAGGTTTAAATTATATCTTTGATGTTTAATCCGCCATTAAAATCTCACAGTAAAGACGACGGAAAAGAAGAAAATTCTAGAAAACAAAAAAGAATTAGATTGATTGGTTAACGGTTTAAATATGTCAAAGGTACATGTGTTATTATAAAATTTAAATTTTACTTCTTATTTTTGTGAAATTGAGTCCTTGCACTATTTTTAGATTTAAAATCTTGGTCCTTCCTTAACTTCTGTCTAATTGTACAATTAATTGTTGATCTGACAGTTACAGAAAAGGTAAAATAACTTTTTATAGTCTCCTACATTTACAGTTTCTGTCAATTTGACCTTAATCTTTAAAAACAAATAAAAATATTAATAATTAAACTATACAATTTTCAATTATCTATGTTTATGGCTTCTTAGGGGTGAAAATAGATTAAAAAAAATACAAGTATAAGAAACTAAAAGTTAATTTACCCACTCTCTCTTTTTTTAAAAGATTTTTAAATATAAAAAGTGCCATACCTCTTGTAAAAATAAAGTGTAGTAAATTTTAAATCGTGTGGGGACATTTATCATATTAAAACCATGGATTAGTGATATTACCTTTATAATATCTAAAATGGTTTTCACAACTCTAACGGCGGCTCGTTCCGTATAATGACCTTTAGCGACAATTCTATCAAAAAGTTCACCCCCATGGCAAAGCTCCATTACAAGATATACATATTCTTTATCTTCATATGCTTCCCTAAAGGCAACAATATTTGGATGCTTAGGCAAACGTTTCATGATCTCAACTTCTCTCCTTACATCTTCGATGTCGATCTCCGCCCGCAGCCTCGCCTTTGATATCTTCTTGCACGCGAAAGCTTCTCCCGTTTTTAAATCGAAACATTTGCTCGTCACCCCGAACTCACCTCTTCCTAACTCTTCCCCGATCTTGTACTTTGCAAAGATGTTGCTTCCCGACGAGTCCTTCAAAACCCTAGTGCGTAGGTTTACCGATCTCCGTCCACCTTCATGACCGAAACGTGCATGTTTCGAGTTGGTCTTCGATTTCGACTTGCAATTATAATGATATTTCTTTGATATTATACCTACTAGTTTTTTGGGCGCTGATATGCAACTTCCCATTGAACGATGATAATAAAGGCGACAACAACATTAACAACAACGACAATAACAAGGGAAATGTAGCTAACTAAGTTTGATTTGATTCCATTTTTGAATCATAAACATCCCATGCGAAGAAAAATGACTTTTATTATTATTCTAGGATTTGAGAAAGAAAAATGTAAACCCTAGGAAATTGCAAAAGAAAAGAATACTAAATTTGGGAGTTTTTTTTATTAATATTAGAGAGGTTAAAAGAATATTAGAAGAAACTTATTGGTTTTTGTTAGATTTGTTCCGACATTTTCTTAGGACAGTTTAAACATTAATATGCCTTTGTTATGATTTTCAATACAGCTAAAAATAAAATTATTGATTAGGATGCTAAAATACCATCATATCTATTAAATAAATCTCTATAATCATGTGTACAGGAGTTGAGATGCTCTATGAATTCCCTTGCAAAGATAGGAGGGGATAAACTATATTTGTTCTCTACTTTTGACTTTTCTTTTTACATTTATTATCGATTTTTAGATGACAACCATAGACTGGAGGAAGAAGATTAACGATCAGGGCCAAGGTATATCGAGAGTTAAGATAGTATCTCTGTTCGTTCATAATCTCCCACCGGAACTGCATTGGAAGGGGCTTTGGCAGTTGTTTGGAAGACAAGACAAAGTCTTGAGTGTATTCATTGCGAACAAAAGTAGAAGAGGGACGAGATTCGCTTTCGTAAGAACGGATTGTGGGATGCAAGCGGAAAGAATGGTAAAGAGATTGAATGGGCTGAAGATAAATAACTACAGAATATCAGTGTCGTTTGCAAAGCATGTCTCAATAGTCTCGACAGGGAAGAAACCATTGCTAGAGGTTGCAAGGATAGAGGTAGCAGAGAAGAAGAGGGGAAAAACTCAAGCAGGCAGGCTCTGGAAACAAAAGGATTCTTGGCCACGTTGAAGAGGAAGATATTTGGTCTTTGAGGAGGAGTCTGATAGGAACCATGTGGTCAGTTTGCAGCGTCTCAAGCATAGAAGATAGACTACATAAGTGGGGTCTAGGGGAGATAAAAGTTCAGAGAATTGCGGGTAAAACATTTCTATGAACTATCGAGGATGAAGAACTGTACCTGTTTCTAGAGGATCTTCAATGGTCGTATTTGAAGGAAATACTCTCGAAAATCAATCCATGGTTTGAGTCGCTGAACCAGATGGAAAGGGTGACTTGGTTGGAAATCTCTGGTGTCCCTCTCCACTGCTAGAATAACAGAACTTCTGAAAGGCTTGGCAGTTGTTTTCAGAAAAATTTGACCTTATTTAATCTTTGCATTGCACAGAACAGTTTTAAAGTAATTTTACTTATAATTTTAAACTAACGTTTTTTTTAAGAAATAAGAAGTCAAGTTTTGAGTGTTGCGTCAATGCTCTAATGCATTTATAGAGACACTTCTATTCTAAGTTTTTCAAAATGAAAACTCTGTGCATACGCAAGAGGACAAATATAGTCGATTAATTCCTTTTACTTTTTATTTACTTGGAATTATATGCAGCCTTCATGGTTGCGGTCTATAACAATGGAGTTAGCGAGTCTTTGTTGCTCTGTCTATGCATGCTACATATGCCAGAATAGCTCCACTCTCCTAACAGAATATGTTGGAGATGGAGAGTTCCTTTCCATGAAAATACTAAAAATGGTGTAACAGTTAAAATTAATAAAATTATATATTTGATCAACGTATCTTATATATATATATAAAAATTAAATAGGACTGTAGGTTTATCTGATCTAGGTCCTTTAAAAGCTAAAGCAATTATGTAACTATTAAACCAAGCAAACCTTTTGGTATGAATTGGAATACATATGCTATATATATTGCATACTAGTCTAAATTTCTTATTATTCTATATATCTTAACCTAAATTCACATATTAAATTAAATTAAAATCTTAATATTAAAAATATATATTTTATTCTTATTTTAACTTAAAAATATATTTTAATTTTTATTAACTTAAAAAATTCATTCTTACCTTAACTTAAATATTTATATTTTATTCTTATAATATTTTAAAATTAAGATAAAATAAAATATATTTGTAAATTTAAAAATAAAATAAAGTATACATTTATAAATTAAAAATAAGAATAAAATATACATTTTATGTTAAAATAAGGATAAATTATATTTAATAATTTGAGGTCAGATTATAATATATTTAATCATTTAAGTTAAGAATATAATGATTGAATAAGTTAAAATAAAAATAAGATATATTTTTAAAAGTTAAGATAAAAATTAAATATATTTTTAAGTTATGATAAGATTATAATATATTTTTAAGTTAATATAAAATAAAATATATTTTTAAGTTAATATAAAATAAAATATATTTTTAAGTTAAGACAAAAATAAAATGGATTTAATAATTTAAAATAAAAATAAATATTTTTAATGTTAATTTGTGGATTTAAGTTAAAATATAGAGTATTATATAAAATATTAAGAATTTAATTTTAGACTAATATACAAAATATATACCATATATAATCTATCTCAAACCAAATAATTTGCTTGATTCAATGGTTGGAAGGTTGCTCTATTAACCGAGGTTTGATTCCCAATCTTCTTTATTTTAGCAATTTTAATTTTCTTTCCACTAGAGGGTGACACATGTCATCCTCTTATTGATGAAAAATAAATTTCTTAAATTAAAATAAATTAAGTCTTTCAATCGAGTGATAACACATGTCATGAGAATTGACACTAGTGACACGTGGTACAATATGATTTAAATATTAAATTAATTTTGATTTATTAAAATTTGAACCAAATTGATAGAATATATAAGTAACAGTGACCAAATGTATAATTATACCGATTTTATTAACTGTCACATTAACACTTTCGTTAAACATTAACGGTAAATGACATGATTGAATGTATTTAAATAATCGAATGATCTGATTAACAAAAATTCAAAAATGATGATAAAAAAAGGACTTGTTACGCAGTCAAGTATGTAGTTTGCCATTTTTAATGAATAAATAATCAAAAACAATTTCGAGACGGGCAAAATGGTGCAAGGTAAACGTCCTAATGCCAGTCAGTTATAATAATGCAATATTATTATGGACGCATAATAGCAATAGCAATGTTATGGTCAAGATTTTTTACTATTCAGATTTTACCAGCAAATTGACCACTGTAATAAGCATTTGTTACAGATGAAAATTGATCTATTCACTGTAATTTAGATCTGTGGTGCAGTATGTACGATTGAGACAGAAAAAGAGAAGGCCTTCATGAATTAAAAAGAGAAAATTCCGAATTGACAACAGCCTGCCTAACCTAAATGGTGAAGAGATCAGAAATTTGCCTCATCCTCTGCAAATTGCATTAAAAACTTCAAAATTGATGTCTTGGCATCATCTCCAACTCCTTTCTCCCTGCTTTCAAATATGCCTTTCATAACACGACTGTACACCCTTTCAAGCTCTGGAATTCCCTTGTTTTCCGTTCGTTCCACAAACAGTTGCTTTATCCTTTCTACTTGCTTAGAAATCTCACCACTCGATATTCTAATGTCCTCGGATCCACTACCATCAATATGACCATCAGATTCCATACAAGTTTCTTGCTGGTTTCCATCTCCGAAACCAGGCTCAGACCCCTCACAGTTTATCTCGTTTGCTTCCTGGATTTGAGATGATGTCTTCGTTAGTGTTGAATCCGCTACCCGTGATTTGTCTTCTGCTGCATAGATTAACAGATAAGTCCCAGCCACAGGCAATCATAACACTTCTAATGTAGGAAAAAGAAAACTACAAAAATTATACGATGATCAAAGAAAATACGATACGGAAATAATTCTTCATTTTCTACAGTTTTCTTTATCAAGATTGATATGCGATATGAAGGTTTTCACCTAAGTCTCAAATATGGATATGTCAAGCATGCGTATACTCGATTTTCTTTCCAAAATTTTCAATATATTTGGAGGATCATTCTCTCATACCCATGTCTGAATATATGCCATACATGAACATTTAGAGTACAGGTATTATAAGTTTTCACAAACCACGCTACCATTTCATTTTTCTTAAGTTTTTTACTCTTACGTTTTCGTTGGTGGAGTTAAAAAAAAAAAGCATATTCAACACTTCATAGAATTAGGGTATTGAATGGGATGAAATTAATCTGATGGAGAATAGTTGCTTCCCATGATAACCTAAAATTGGGAACACCAAAACCTTCTACTTTCACAATACATCAATGGGGAAACAAAATTACCACTGAAGGAATAAAACCAACTAAAACGATAATATATCCCTGACAGCTGCTTAAGAGCAGGTAGATGGGCACATTTCTATCCTAACTGATTCCAAGAGGTGAATTTAAATTAGATTTAAGGTTGAGTGGAACTTTTAGGAGGGAAAGGCCCTTTAAAAATATAAATGTAAAAGCATATGCCTATCCTGGTATCGGATACCAACTGAGATAACTAAATCCAATGCCTTAGTAATTAAATGTATAAACTAAACCCTTAAACCCTCATCAAAACACCAAATGAGAGCCGGCTAATCTATGTATACACACAGTGGACATCAAGATACCTGAAAGAGCAGTATCAGCATTCTTCTTTGGCCTTTTCAAAGCCTCGTAACTTTGAAGATTGGCCTCTGGCTGGACATTGCGAAGTCGGGAACTTGCTCGAGTGACAGTTCCAAGCTGCACTACAGGTACTGAGGGGAGAGTAGACACACCCATGTCATTTGGCATATGCGTTGGACCCCCTTGGGCAGCAATTTTGTCACAACAAGCAACCAGTGAAGGGTCCATCTGCGACAGCATACCAGTTACCTGAAAAACATTTAAATATTATGCAATGAATGAAAGGGGGAAAAAGCCCCGTATAATGAGAATAAAATTCTTGTAATAGTGCTATATTTTTTTTTATAGAAGTTGGAGGTCTCATTAAAAACTCCCTTCATATTCGTTCACATACTAAAAGTATGTTAAC